GTGTGTGTGTGTGTGTGTGTGTGTGTGTGTGTGTGTGTGTGTGTGTGCGCGCGCGCTATATAGCATTCGTATGTGTCCCTTCACTCCTGCTGTTGTTTACCAAAATAGTTTGGGGCCGACTACTGAGTCATGTTCTGTGGAAACCTATTATTGCCAAAAAAACCATGTCCAAACACCCATGCTTATTGTTTTCTATGAAAGCACACACACTGGCTGCATCTTGATGAGTCAACGCTACAGAAAAGTTGCTTCCACACTACTACCGCTGTCTGAATGCCAACTCCATTATGTTTTATGAGCATGCGTTGACGTGACTTAAGGTGATGCAGCCAGAGTGTTGCACCTTAGTTTCTCAAATTGACTTTAAATAGTTATTTGTTGTCAAACTTAAGGTGGAAAACAAGTAGGACAACTTGCAATGAAAGCAGGAGTGCGTTCAAACAATATGCCGAGTAAACTGGAACTATGAGCTGACGTTTTGGCAACAATGCGTCTTCTTTGAGGGAAACACTTGACAACATTGTATTTACAGCTTCGGGGGTAACTGGACATATGACATCTTCTGTATACAAAACATCTAAATCTATTCTCATTCACATTATTCTTAATACCTGTCAGGCTGTCACATGATGCCAGTTTACATTCAACTTTAAAATTAATAACTGGATGTAGGTGATTCAGTTTTTATGAGTTTGCCCCAAATGTATATTTGTTTATCTGTGTGTTTGTCCCTTACAATTTTATTTTTTGAAGGAGTTATCTGTGTGTGTGTGTGTGTGTGTGTGTGTGTGTGTGTGTGTGTGTGTGTTAATGACTGCACACATTCGCTTACCTTCTACACAAAAGCTGCAGTATTTCACTGAGGCTGGGGTCTGTTGGGCAAAGTCTTCCATGGTTGGGAAGTTTTCACTTCCAGTTTAATTTCAGCGGGGTGAAGCCAGAGCCTTGAGTCCATGCTGACGCCGCTGACTTTAAGGGCTGACGCTTTGCTATAGGAGAATAGACACTCTCACTATCATTGACCCCCCCCCACCCCCCCCCCCCCCGCCCTCTGTTCTAAGGCCCCTCGACCTCTAATCAAAGTGCACAGCCTCCTTCACTTATCCTCCTCTTCTTCCTGTACATTTCCATCCATACTCAAGAAAGAGCTGGAAGATGGAGACAGGTTGTAAGGAAGTGATGCAGAGGTCGATGGAGACCAAACCTGAGCAGGTGTTTTGTTTTGTTTTGTTTGCTACAGTGTACAGATGATCTGGTTCTATTACATAGTATTTAAACTAATACTGAAACATCAGTTATTTAGTGTGTGTGCGTGTGTGCACGTGCCTACATGCAAACGTGCTTACAGATACTGCACAGAGAAACTGCCTCAGGCATCTTTGTTCAGACTCCTCACAAACAATAGACAAATGTCTGTGTGGATGACCTGATGAGCGTGGAACTGATAACAGCTGCTCTGCAGAAGCAAACATGCACACGCCCAGTTATTGCTACTACACACATGATGTGAAAAACAAAGCATTACATTACAGTATGGCAAAGGGTGCAGATTAACGTGTAAGAAACGCATTGGTTCAATAAGTTTTGTTCACCTGTTATGCATTATATCATACAAACTCTTCACACGTGGAAAGTGAAAACCTCATGTTTCTATAACTTTACCGAGTTCTCAATTTCTCTCATTTTTCCTACAGAGTAAAATACTGAGCCTTCCCTTTCTGCATCGTGACGTCACACCTCACCTGCTTTACCTGCACACGGCACAGCTGAAGGGAGAACAAGGTAACATTAGTGTCTGTCTGTCTGTCTGTCTGTGTGTGTGTGTGTGTGTGTGTGTGTGTGTGTGTGTGTGTGTGTGTGTGTGCGCGTGTGGGAGAGATCATTGAGCAGAAAGTTGTATTTAGTTCATTTTAATCTGAGGTTTGATTATGTAGACTTGGCAGACTTGATACTTTTTAATGTTTTTAAGTATTTCTCTTATAATAACTGCAAGTTATCACATCAGTCTGCCATTGCTAGTATTTTTAGGCTCTCTGCATCTGGTTGTGATTTGTATTATTTGTGTGTGTGTGTGTGTGTGTGTGTGTGTGTGTGTGTGTGTGTGTGTGCGGTATGAATCTATTCTGTCCTTGTCTTGATACTTATAGATGTGTCTGTATTGTGCTTTGATTTAACTCTGAACACAACTCGCTTTGCTTGCAGAATGTTTGGTTATAATCAGAGAGACTTGATAAAAGGCTAATTGACTTGATGACCTGGATATTTCTCGTTAGTGTCGGGGTGAGCTGTCTGTGTTTTATAGATAAAGCACTTCCTCTTCCTCATCTGCATTTCGTACTGATAATGAGAAGCAGGTCACCTGTTATATTCTCTCCTCCATGAAGGTGAGCTGCAGTAATAACCACAAACACAACTCAACGTCCACTTATATGGGCGCTCCCACAATGCAATGTTCTGTGTGCTTTACTTATTCTCTCTGATTCAGGTTTAAAACTTTCGTGTCAACAACAGCTGGAATACTCAATAATGTTTTACTCTTAAGCCTGTAATTTCTGTGAACTATGACAATATCTTACAGTGGTGTATGTTATTCTCTTACACAACACTATGGAGCAGAGGATTAAATACTAAAAGCAAAAACAGTTCATTGCTAATTCAATCAGACCTCCAAGGTTCATGTCTTAACCTTGTTGAAGTGTCCCGCTGAATCCCCTCCGGCTACCACCACGCTGACCTCTGACCTCCTGTAATGTGAAAAAAGGAATTCTCTGTTGAGATGAAATGGATTATTTCTGTGAATTAATGGACATCCAGAGAGATTGAGGGTCTTGCTCCTCCTCCTCCACTTGTGCTGTCTCAGTGTCGTGGGACTGCAGCCTGACAGACAGGCAGGCAGGCAGATGGACGTGACACCAGCGACATCAGCAGGATTGAGCAAAAACAATGTAGATGGAAATCCGTGGAGACAATGACAGCGGTGTCGGGAGAGACTTGAGGAAAAGACCGGGGAAGGAAAACGAGTGTTGGGGAGAGCGGGGCGACAGGGAAAGAGCTGCAGCTTAGTTAAGCTCCAGTCTGAGGGGGAAAGATGTCGCCTCCAGATAAACCAAACGCACGTACAAGCTCAATATAGACCAGGGTCCAACTCTGTGTTTCCTTCCAGCACAATGTTCTGATACGTCAATGTTGTGTTCCAGTGTTTCCTGTCGAGGGTTTGTTGTTGATGGAGGGCTTCAGTTTGACAGACAGACACCAGCAGTCACCCTGTAAGTGCTCTTCATCAGCCATTTATAATTGACAACTTCACCTCTGCCTTTTAAAGGCACTGACCTTTTTCAGCAAAGCACTGATGTCTTTTAATTGGAGACTCCTGCAGAGCTGTTTTTTAGTCTTTTTGGGTCCAACATCTAGTCTCTTAACAAGCAAAATAAATCTTTCACATATCATATTTTAGTTGTTTACAATCCTTCTTCCTGGGCTGTGAAAAGATCCCTTTGTGTTGCGACTGCACTCTAAGTATAGAGGGATAGAGAGTATCTTGTTTTCTTAGCTAAGACCAAGTCCTTTGAATGCATCAGCAAAATAATGAAACTATTCCAGGTGTGTGGCCCGGCAAGGCTATGCCAAGAGGTTAAGTTGAAAGCAGGTCAAGACTCAAGTTCAAAACTCAGCTCTGCATCTGATTTAAATGAAACAAGCATCTGCATTCCCAACAGTAGTACAACACGCCGTTCAAACTGTCTCACATAGCTGGAGATTATTTTTATGTTTCTTCATCTCATCATCTCTTTTGTCACTTCAGCTGGCTCTAACTTCAGTAAGTCTTTACGTCCACATGAGTGGAGGTCATTCAGCCCCGATAGCGCCTCCTGGTGCGTCCGCTCCTCCAGAAGCCGAGGTGGCATGAATGCTGGATGTGATGTCCCCGCCAGCACGGTTGTATCACAGAGTCATGCTCCGCTCTGCTCCTGTCTGCCATCTGCCTGTCATATGTACAGCCATCTGTTCTTCAAACCAGCCCATAATGCAGCTCGCTCTCTGGCATCGTTGGCTTCATTTAAACAATTACAGTAACTGCTGCTGATGTTTGATGTCGGGGGAGTTTTTTTTCTCCAAGGATTTATCAAAACCTGTTTTGAGCCGCCTTGGCACAATCGAAGCAGTTTGTTTGCTTTTTTTATTAAACATTTAGATAATTGTAGATTTTCGGAAGCCTTTGGTCTTTGCCCGTACATCTCTTCATTTGACTTTTGCTTACCGCCACACATCCCTTCTTCAATCTAGCAGGTCTACCTCTCCTCATCGCCGATGTTTTTACATTTGCAACGAGCTCTCCGCGCTGATCTCTGGTCTGACCGTACCCGGTATGACATTCCAGCAAGCGGCGTCATCAGCTGGGCGCCTCCTCCACACAGAGTGCACTCATTCCTCTGGAAACTGTACTCCTCTGCTAACTCTGTCATTACCAGCATCTAACCAGTGTAATTACCAGCCTCGGTGTGTGTCGGTGGCGCACGGGCCAAGCCTGCACCACGCAGAGCAAGTAGGAGCGGGTGTGGAAGGAGACGAGGGAAGGGAGCATGAATGGGAGAGACAAGGAGAGTCTAAACACGGGGAGGTACATCCCCAAAGCTGAAATAATTACTATGTGTGAGTAATTAAATGGCTGCACGTTGTCTTGTGAAGTCTGGGCCAAACCCGCATGTGTCTGCTCCATTCTTGCTGTATTCTTCTCTCTCTGGATTTATATATAATCCTTTTAGTTGATAATCATACTTTATAGTTCTGTTGATTACACCTAGCTCTTTACTCTCCCATTCATCTCACCAGTAGAGCAGATATGTGGTTTGTTGGTCTACAGTTTATTGGCTTCTTCCCCACTTCTGTGCGGGGTAGACGTTCTGGTATTCTTTCCATGATACCAGAGGTGTAACTTTTTTTAAATATTCCTTCCTGCAGTATTAGTAGACTTGTTTCATGAAGACTAGGTAGGAACGTGTAACTTTCTCTCTACTGGGTGGTGTGCTGGCAGAAGTCACTGGTAAAGATCAGACCAGACCCTTTCTCAACAGGCACCTCAGACACATAATGAAGCCATTCTGCAGCTCCTGCAGCTGGGGACGGATGCTAATCTGGGATTGAGCCTCGTAGCGGATCACAGGACAGCCCTCCGGATGATGAGAGTCTCTGTCAGAAAGCATGATCAGAACAGGAGACTTTTGCCCGTGGTTCTCCGAAAACAAAGATATGATACATTTCCGTGGCTGATGACTATAGGGGGATTTTGTTTGCTGTGAATTGAGGTTTGTGTGCGTGTGTGCGTGACTGAGTAATGCAGTCTCGAGGCCAAAAATGAATTCAGAGAGGACACATAAAAGGCGTTCATAAAACACACAAACCACTGTGAGCTCCGTGGACACAACGAGAAGTTTGACGTTATGTAAATTGGACTTCGTAACGAGATAGTCCACCCAGAAGTTGATATTTGTAGAGCACACAGAAACTGAGGCAGCTGGAGAGAGATTTGTTGTTCTCACAACAAAATAGTTTCTAATGTAGGCTTTCTACAGGCTAGTGCTTCGACGATCTAATGTGGTTAGATGTGAGTCCAACAGATTATACCGCTGTGTAGGTTTGTGTTCGTTCTGCTTGTGGTTGAATCATAGGATTTAATTCCTGGAAGCTTTTGTCTGAAGAGTAATAATGTTCCCGCTCCTGTCTGATTAATCACGCCGAAGAGTTTCACACTTGTGACATTTGAAGGGACAGTGACTTAAGATGTGTAAAAGCTGGACATACAATGAAGAAACTGTGTGTTGGGAAATTTGTGGTCGAATTTTAGCTGACAAAGATGAATGAAAAAAGTCAAAATAATAAGACTTGAGCGGAACCATTTAAAAGGTAGATATGCAGATTGGAAGTGCGTTTGCCCTCTGAGCAAATTCTGTGTAGATATTTGAAGGAGTTTGGTGGTTTGAGGAGAGACTTATGTAGATAAAGAAGCTTAAATCTAGGAATGGAAAGCTAATGAGAGAATGAGATTAGGAGAAGTAAATTCAGGAGAAAGGGAGGGGGGGGATTTTGACTCCAGCAGGAATGGAGATGGATTGAGCTCATTTACATGTTCGACATTTAGGTGAAGCTCTAAAACATATTAAAACCCATGTTTTCACATCTCATGTTGAGTTGTGTAATCTGCGTCTTAAAAAGCAAACAAACGAAGTAGAATTGTTTTGACGGTGGATTGTTTGCACAATTCACTCCTTCTTCTGGAGTTTCAGTCGGCATCATCAGCAATTTAATTTATTTATATCGTCAAGTTATTATACAATGCTTGCGAGTACTAACACGTGATATGATAATAATTCATTCCAGACCATATTGTCCCTACTGGTTTTCCATCATGCTTTCATACTTTGCTCAGTATGATCGTGAAACAAATATTAATTGGCATTCAATGTGGTATTAAAAGGTCTTGTGAAATGAAAAATGTAACAGTACTCTGCTGTTTGTTGTACGAGGCTCTTCTGTCTGTCTTTACTGCCAGCACATTGTCATCACTCACTGTGTTCTTAATGTGACTCATCCAGTGGAGTCATAGTCAGTTCGTTGTATTCTCCAATATGAATTCCCGGCCGGTCACTCTGAACAAACAAAATGTGACCCAAACATTTGTCTGGACTGAAGATGACGGTAAAAGAGAAGAATGACTCAGTCTGCTGGGAACTGTACGAGTGCAACACTCGTATAAGTCTAGCTTTGTAGACCAACTAAACATTAAGAAAGCATGAATATAAAACCTACATGCTCTGAGACTATTCCTGAATCCTGCTGTAACCATCCACTGAAGACATTAATGCCTGTAAAAATGATTAGATCAAATCTCCAGAGAGACATGCTGTAAGATGCTTCTGAGCAAACAAGAGTCTCTACGAGGCTGGTAGGTTCTTCAGACGTGATGCACTGTGACTGGCCTATTAAAGCTCGCCCTTGTGGTTCACTGAGCAACGTACCGCTCTCCTCCTCGCTCTTTCTCGACTCCGTCCGATCACTCTATTTCTGGATTTACCCCAACTCACCCCTCCAGCTGTTTGCTCACTCTGTGCCTTCGCCCTTTTCTGTCTCTCCTTGAGTCCATGTTCATCTCTTCGTCTCAAAGTTGCAGTTTGCTGTTTAGAGCAGAAATAGAGAACATTAGCCACATATAAGCTACATCGTCATCACTGTGGGCCTTTTTCCCAAATGAGAGACAATACACACGAGTAGTGAGAATGCAACAGTGATGAGATGTTTAAATTGTCGGTGTACTCAATCTGTTTAAATCTGCAGCTGATAATATTAGCTGAAGTGTTTCAGTTGCTTTAATCTGCAGCAGAGCTGCCACAGCGTTCGTGTCCTCCGGGTGTTTGAGTGTGTTTGTGTGTGAGCACACATGCACTCGAGTGCACACAGCGTGTGATAATAATATCCCCTGTCAGCCTCCTGAAGATTAGGCTCAATGGAAGAAATCCTCTGTCATATTCCCTCACCTTATTCTCTCTCTCTCTGTCTCTCTCTCTCTGTCTCTCTCTCTCCCTCTCTCTCTGTCTCTCTCTCTCTGTCTCTCTCTGTCTCTCTCTGTCTCTCTCTCTCTGTCTCTCTCTCTCCCTCTCTCTCTGTCTCTCTCTCTCTCTCCTCCCTCTCTCTCTCTCTCTCTCTCTCTCTCTCTCTCTCTCTCTGTCTTAACAGTCTTACATTGTTTTAAATTGTTTTACAGTTGAGTGACTCGCTCTTTTCTAAATTCAGCGCTCGTTTGTTCTTTGTGCCTGTGGAGAAAATGTGGGTCACACAAGCTCTGTGATTTAACAGATGCTGATTTTCTGAAGCTGGTTTGTTGGAATGATTGTTTTGTTTCTTCTTCTGTTCTCAGAGCTGCGGTAGACTGAAAATAGTCGGAGGAAGAAGACGACCAGTGCTGACTCTAAACTGGTCCTCAATGGACCAGTGAAATCTTTTCCACCCTGCCAGTTAAAGGCAATGTTTTTGGGAGCTGGAGGCCGTAGCACCGTCAGCAGAGTGTGTGTGGGGGCCCATCCTCTTCCTGTTTCCCAGCACCCCTCCTGACATGGGATGCCAGCCTCGTGCCTCCCTGCCCTGAGCTCTCCTGGGGCGTCATGAACAGCTACAGAGACCGAGGGGTCACTTGCACCTCCTCAGACCTCCTGGATGGAGGAGGAGGGTTCCCCCAGCACACTCTGTTTCGTCACACCCCAAATGGCCACCCAGCTCCCGGCCACACAGACCCGTTCATCCAACCACGCGTCTCCGTGCCCAAAATGGGTGTTAGGGCGCGGATTGCAGAGTGGCCTCCGCGCCGCACGCAGTCCAGGGAGTCGCTGCTTGAAAACGGGCAAATGGGCGGCTTTCACCACGGAGATGACGCATCAATGTCCTCGTTTTTGTCGTCCGACATCGGTCTTGTGCGGGGAGGAGTTACCAGGTTGCCACGGCGGCGGTCCAAGGATGTAGAGTTCAGAGGAGGAGGGTTTAGCGTCGAAAGAAGCTTCCCGTTCAGCCTGAGAGCATTCCCTCCACTGAGACAGCGCTCGAACAGCGAGGTGACGCTCAGCGAACAGGACGAGAATGAGGTGGGTCTTTAATCTCCTAAAGTGTGTTTACACTGACTTTGTACAAACAAACAAAAAGTTGCAAAGCACTACTTTGACTGGTCATGATGCACTTTCCTGCATTTAATATGTTTGTGTATCTTCTCTGATATCAAAGAGAGATCACCAAGGAATAACAAGATTATGAGCACTATTACTCGAGACTGCAACTCCATGTCATGTATTGTGATCAATCAATACAATAAAATCCTCTGGTTGATCTACTTTCACACTACAAACAAACCACAACAGAGCTGAGTCATCAGCTTTCCCTCCCGCCTAAACTAACCGAACTTAGCAGGCAAACTCTCACCAGAGTTTGTTTGAAATTAACTAAATACGGTGCTTTTCGCACGTGACCTAACTCTATGTTTGATCAAACTATTAATATTAATGTTTTGTATCCACTGATATATCTTCATGAACTGAAAATGCTCTCCCCTTTCTGCTTCAAGGTGGAGGTTCGTGGAGGTTGCGGGATGGGTAACCTGTTCAGAGAGTATGGCAGCACCTCCTCCATCGACATCCAGGGCATTCCTGAACAGAGTTTCTTCGACATGCTCAGCCAGTTTCACCAGGAGAGGCCCGACCAGCGCAGCTCAGCACCCGTACGCCTCGGGGAGCTGCTGCACGCTCCAGACGCTCCCTCGCCTGGTCCGTCAGGTGGGGGAAGAAAGGACGGAGCCGAGAGAGTCAGGAAGAAGAGTGGAGGGACGGAGTCGTCGCTGGGCACCTCCTCTTTGTTCAGGAAACTCAGGAGCTCGAGTCGCGGCGACCTGGATGGAGGGAAGGGAGAGACTAGTGAGGACGGGGGAGGCAGGGGTTCAGCAGACGCCTCCTACAAACCGTGGGTGTGCCCAAAGAGCTTCGTCCACTTCGACGCTCAGAGTATCTTGTTTGACCTCCACGAGGCGGCGGCTCAGCGGGGCTACGCCGTCCAGAGGAGGAACACCGCCACGGGGGCCTCAGCCGCGTCAGTGTCCCTGTCCGCCTCCAGATCCTCAGCTCCGAGTGTGAACGACCCGGTTTACTCCAGCATAGAGGATCTGACCCTGAGCCTCGAGCCCGGCTCCATGACACCTTCCCTGTGCGTGGACCCACTGGACGGGCCTCCCGGAGCCCACAACTCGAGCCCACTGCTCCTCTGCTGCCCGCACTTCCTCAATGAGACCGGAGGCCACGGGGAGCGCAACATCAGCTTCCTCAGCTCGTCAGCGGAGCGAGACGGAGGAGGAGACGGGACGAGGGGTTGGCTGAGGAGGAGCAACGCCAGCGTCTCGGTGCTGGAGGTGCCTATTGAACAGCAGGTCACGAGACTGGACAGACTGAAACTGTACGGCGTCGAGCATGTGGACCTGGGGGCCCGGTACTACAGAGACTACTTCCATGGGAAAGGTAACACTGAGACACTTTTACAATAGTTCAGATATCACACACATTCATTGATGAAGAACCAGACATATCAAAGAAAAAATGATTATACATGGTTATGGTTTGCAGTATTACAACATACGTTTTATGTTGTAGTTTATAGATGCTATAAACTGAATTGAAACTCTTTATATTCCAGTTATAGTGAAGTAGGAGAGTTTTTTTGCACAGCACCTTTGAAAAACAAGGCAATTGCAATGGATTCTTTATAAAGATTCAGTTAGACAGGAAGATGGTACCTCGGGCTCTAGAGAAACTAAGATATTTTTCACTATTCTCTGACATTTTTATAGATTAAATTATTAGTTGATTAAGTAAAATAGATTTAAAAAAGTATTTTTCTCAATGTGAATGATTAATTGTTTGATCTTTAAATATTTAAAAAGGGAAAAAAGCCCATCATAGTCTCCGGGCTGGCGATTAGCAAAGCAAAACCTAAAAATGTTTTGTTTGAGTTTAGTACAAAAGACTGAGAATACAATTCTGATTCATTTTTATGGTCTATAACATTTTATAATATTTTATAAAAGTCTATAAAATGTTGGTAAACAGTTGACATATTTATAATATGTTTATTTAATATATTTGAAATAATTAGTTGTCATGTTTTATTCGACCAACAGTCCAAAACCCCAAACACATTCAGTCCCCTATCATAAGAGAGTGATAAAACCAGATTATTCACATTTCAGAAGCTCTGATTTGGGCCCCTCAGCGTAGATCTCGTTCCGCCGGTGTCATTCCCCAAATCTCCTTCTGCGTCTGTTAATATCCAGCTGTGCTTGAGCAGAGCAGAGCGGGCCGAGCTGGCAATGCTCCCAGAGGTTTTATTACACATGTACCTGCAACTGGACTGTTGGCAAACTCTGAGCTGATAATACACCACCTGCCTGTCTGCACAATCACAAGTACCACTTACCATGGTCAGCCACTGCAGCTTTGTTTTACATGTGGTTTCCACTGTCAGAAGTAACACCACAGAGGAAAGGTGTGTGTGTGTGTGTGTGTGTGTGTGTGTGTGTGAGATGTGTTTGTACACGTGTTTGTTGACATTTCATGTCAACATCACCTCTTCAGACGCTGGGGATGAAACTTCCTCTGGGCAAACTTCATCTGGCTGCACCCTAATTAGTGACAGATGCTGTTAGGACCACATGTGTGCGAGCAAGCGTGTGTGTGTCTGTGTGTCTGTGTGTGTCTGTGTGTGTGTGAGACAGGCCTGCAGCCACACAGATAAAGGTTATAGTTCCAAAAATATGTTCTGCTGACTCGTTTCCAGCTTAGCTGTCCCCCAGAACGCAACTGTGATTGCGTTGCGTTGTGCGAGAAAGCCTCGTCAAAGAGCTGACATTTCCCCCCCATGACATGGCACGGAAGCTAAAGCTAAAGTCTCTGAACGTGTACGTCATCTCGGTTCACTCCAGTCAGACGGGGGATAGAGGAGGAAGACTTGTCGAGCTGGATTCCTCCCTGAGTGTGTGGAGAATTTGTCTTTGGACTCCCACACTGCCTGTGGCGTTGGCATTACCGCGGCTTAGCTTTAAAAGAGGACACGCGAGATGCTGGTGAAGTGCGTTGAAAGCTTTGTCGCAGCCTCTTATTGGATGATTACGTTGTGTGCCAACAGGGTAACAGGCCACAGCATGTTAATTGGCAACTTATGACACTCTGTTTTTGTTTGTTTCTTGTGTCTTTATTGTGTATACAGTCTTGTTGTTAAACACACTAGTGAATGGTATTTTATTCCCTCGTGTCAGCAAAATAGATTTTGTAATTACTTGAGTATTGATTACTAGTTAGCATGTCATTGTGTTAGTCCTGTCCTTGACTCAATGCCCCTCCTGCTTATTCCACATACAGAGTTGCATGTTCTCTCTCTTTATTATATCAAACCATGAGGCCTTTTTGTTACTGACGCTACAAATTGTAGGACCAAGTATCAAATAATACCGAAACCTGGGATTGAATACCTGGATAGTGTTGTTTACTAATTCTTAACTGAGATATTTACTTTAATATTTCCAGTTTTAGACAAAGTTTTATTTATGGGACGTTTTCGTCCAACTGCTTGAGTTTAAACAACATTTTTAGACGTTTGACATCTTTCGGTTTGCAGAAAAACATTTCTCAAAGTGAATGATGAATAGTTTGGTCTATAAAATGTAAGAAAATTGTTTTCTTTAAAAGATAAAATAATTTAAAATAATAGTTGGCGATTAGCAATCCAAAACCTAAAAACGTCTAGTTAAGGTTTAGTACTACAGAAGAGTGAGAATACAATTCAGATTTTCTTGATTCATTTTTGGTCTGTAGACATTTTATAATATTGTATAACTGTTGGTAAACAGTTGACATATTCAAGTGTCATATTTGAAATATCTAATTGTCACGTTTTATTCGACCAACAGTCCAAAACCCCAAATACAAAGATAAAACTTGTGAACTTTTTTGCTGATAAAGATGCTGAAATCATTCGTCACCTGTTGGGAATGTTAATTTCCAGAATAATTTCCTGTGGATTCCTTTGACTAACACTCGCATACATACTCTAGTCTTTCTGTGTATAACACCAACAACCTGTCGATGTATCCAACCACAGATGAAACACAACTCAGACATGTTTCTCCTCCACACTAACCCTGACACTGAACTCCATCTCTTGTTGTCCTTCACATAGAGCACTCAAACTACTTTGGGACAGACGATAAAATGGGCGCTGTGGCCCTGAGCATCCGCAGGGAGAAGCTGGAAGACACCAAAGACCTGAAAGACCAGTACCAGTACCGCCTTATCGTCAGAACAAGTGAGGTAAGAACGATCCGCCGCTTGTGTGTGTTTGTTCTGAGTGACTGTGATGAGTCACTGTGAGTGTGCACGCTTAAATTAATTACTTTCTACTTTTATTTTACTTCCCTGTTCCTACCCATAACTCTCCTCACCCTCTCTGCCCTGGTTCTGACCTCCCCCCCTCACCACTCACCCCCTTCTCTCCTCTCGCTCCTCTTGGCCAGTGGAAAATTCCACCTGCGCGGTCTCAGCAAAGCCAAACCAAACACTGGCTGCCCTCACAGGAAGCACACCCAACCACTTTTCCACTTTGGTGGCTCAAATACTCATAAAGCTTTAAGTGATGGGCTGGTGATCATGAAGAACTAGTTAAGATTCTCCCTCAGATTTGTTCAAAGGCTACAAACACGCCTTTCACGTTCATTTACTTTCAGAGCTTTTGCCTCCAGGGCACCAAACTATAACAACAATATGAACTCATTGTCAACAAACAATTGGATAAGGCGCTTGGTTACTTTACTAGCAAAAAATGCCAAATATTCACATGTTCCAGTTATCTTTTGGCTTTGGAATGATGATGACGTCTGTGGGAAAATGTGATCAGCATTTGTTGTTGCCTTTTGCCATATTTCTTACCAAAATGTTTCATTGATTAATCAGGAACATAATTGGCAGATTAATCTGAAACAAAAATAATCCTTAGTTGCAGCGCTAGTACCAATCACTTGATCACAGACGGTGTTTCACAAATAGTGTGTTAGTCTTCTGTTTTTAGGTCTGTATGACCTTAATGTGTTATAAACACCTGTGTAGTGACATCAAAGTAACTCAAATAAACAGCAAAGTTTGCTTCAGTTCATTGTGTTCCTGTCGGCCGTCGGTCTTCCTCTGGCCCTGTGTTGGTTCTAGCTGGATTACATGGCTGCCTGGCCTCATCACCTTAGCACTGGTGTAACAATGGAGCCTCTCCGCCATCTAAGTACACAGAGCTCAGCTAACAGACACACACACAGCACACCCAGGCCTACTGTTCCCACACAGGAAAAAAAAAAAAGAGATTGATTGCTCTCAAACCGCAGCTGCTCTCAAATATCCATCCCCCTTAATTCTGTCATTTAATTCTGTGCAGCAGTGCTGACGCAGCGAGGTGGAGAGACTTCCTCTCTCTGCCTCCATCACACACTTATGCACGCAGCCCTGTGACGTTCCTGCCCAGCGTGTCACACTCCCTCGCTGCTCGGTCGCACAGAAGCCGACGAGTTGGAAGGGAAAGCTCCACAACTTCAGCCGAGTGTCAGTCAGGTTTCATTTATCTGCGGCACACCCGAGCCTCCGAGGTTCAACTGTCTCTCCGGCCCCTGCCAGCTCCAGAGTCTGCGATGCATTTTTAAAGAAGCCGCATTTGTGTGTGTAGTTGTAAGTGTGTTTGTGTGTGTGTGTGTGTGTGTGTGTGTGCGCGGTGAGAAGGAACAGCCCATTCCTCCCAACTGTGTCTGAGGTTATTATAGCCTCACTGTTTTGAAGCAGGTCAATTTCCTCTCACCGGGGAGCAGCATTCTGTGGCAGCACAACACTGAGCAGAATATTAATTCACAATACTGCTCGACCTAAAATCCCTCACACAGTGCACTTTCTGTGTGTGTGTGTGTGTGTGTGTGTGTGTGTGTGTGTGTGTGTGTGTGTGTGTGTGAGTGTTGGACAGAGAGAGAGTGTAGCTTCAGAGCACTATTATGAGAAGTGAGACCATCCCTCGTGGACCCACTTCAATCTCCCAGGCTGCTGATCCTCCATTTTCAGAGGCGTGGTCCTGTAGCTGAGCCTGACCTCTGAGGTCTCTCAATACACCTATCTTAATATCAATAGTATTACTTGTTTACGTATTATTATTAGTATTACTTTGTATGTTGTCCTGTGTCTTTCTTGTGTTACTGTTTGTCCCGGTCAGCCCTACCTGATTGTTTTGTTTAGCTGACCGATCAAAATGCAGTAATTTCTTTTTTAAACACATTTTTTATTGTGTTTTTAACAAGTACAACACAGAAAACGCAGTTCTTTATGAGTGAGACCAAATGTGGAGTTATAGTAGCCAATATGCAGTAAGTTATACTATACAATTATACACAACACAAGAAAGGTTTTAAGCCACACCAAAAAGAGAAAGAAGGAAATAATTTAAACACAACACTAAACTAGTATGTAACAAAGCTTGAATTTTGATTTAAAGAGAGAGGGAAGGAGGAAGAGTTAAACAAGTGGAAGTCAATAACCCTCAGACCAGGAGCCAAAGCGATGAATGAAAGGGGATCATATGAAAATTAATTTGTATTTCTTCCACCAAAAACTGTTGTTAAGGCGTCTAATGGAGTAATTTCCTGACATTTTCGTTGTGATTTTAGATATTTATATCCTTAAAATCATATTATTCTGTCCCCACATTCAGCTTGTGACCCTGCGAGGCTCCATTTTAGAGGATGCGGTGGCGTCCACGGGGAGGCACGGCACCGTGCGCGGTCTGCCGCTCAAGGAGGTCCTGGAGCAGGTGGTCCCTGAGCTCAGCGTCTCCTGTTTGAGGCTGGCGCTCAGCACGCCCAAAGTCACCGAGCAGCTCCTCAAACTGGACGAACAGGGGGTGAGTTATGCGTCCGTGTCTGTGTTTGCATTTCACTTATGGTCTTGTTTGATAAAACTGGAAATTCGACAGTTGACCCCAGACGCCTCCATTGAAATTGTTCTTGGGCTAAACACCTAAAGTGGCTTTGAGTCAGGCTTGCTGAGTAAAGCAGAACAATCTGACCTGATAAGTAACACAGAGACTTATGGTGCTGCTCAGATAGTGTGTTTAAAAGCGTCTGAAATACAACTGATTAAGTGTTGGTGCATAGTACAGAATCGGACTGAGGTCAGTGAAAGCTGAGTGGAGCAGGGAGTGGCGTGTTTGAGCATGAGTGTGTAACCATAAAAGCTCTAATATTTAGCCACGTTATCTCGCCTTTTATTTAATGGAGGGTGAAGTGCAAGGCGGAGGTGTTTTTCCCTGCAGTCGGATTGTTTTTGTTTGTGCAGGTGTTTTTGAAGTGGTGCTCAATGTTTAAGTGCATCCATATGTCCATCGGGGTCGTACCGTCCGCTTTGACATCAAGTTGCATTAAAAGCAGAAGGTTCAGACTGCAGTGGTTCAGCTGTTTGTGTGTGTGTGTGTGTGTGTGTGTGTGTGCGCGATGTTAATGTTGTCTCTCTCCTGCCGTGCAGTTGAGTCAGAAGCACAAGGTGGGTGTTCTGCTGTGCCGTGCGGGCCAGAGCACCGAGGAGGAGATGTACAACAACGAGGAGGCGTCACCCGCCTTCTCTGCCTTCCTGGAGCTGCTGGGGGAGCAGGTCCTTCTCAAAGGATTCACCAAATACGCTGCACAGCTGGACACAAAGAGTGAGTCTACAGAAGAGCCCCTTTCAGACATGCGCTGCGTCCGAATAAGCGCATAAAAGTCAAGATGGCAATCTTACGCTCTTTGTAATCTTAAGAATACTTTGTCAGCATTTTCATCATGGCGCATATTCAAAACAACGGATTGAATTGATAAGGAAATCGATGAGGAGAGTGCCTCACTCTCAAGATACACGCATATATAAGTCCTCAATGTTTAAATCCTTTACTGATTTGAGGGAACATAAAACACTCCATAACAACAACTTCCACTCCTGTTCTCCAGCAGTGAGACTTCTTCCTCTAACAAGCATCGTGTCTCATTCCTTTCATGCTGGCATAAAGCCACATGGAACATTTACATAAAAGAGACCAAGAGTACAAAATCCATTACTTTTACAACCCAGATATTGCCAATAAAGTTATGTATTCTATGTCTGAAGAGGAATAGCCAGGCCAAGTGTCATAACCCCAGGAAAAGCACAACGACTGACTTGGCATCCTCATGCTCCCTGGAAAAACATCTGTTTGAACGATCACACTTTTTGGTATCTAAAACAACATCCCAGTGTCATCTGTAGTTAACAACGTCTCACGTGAAATTTAAAATCTCTCTCTCCAGCGGACTCTACGGGCACCCACTCCCTGTACACCACCTACCAGGACTACGAGGTCATGTTCCACGTGTCCACCATGCTGCCGTACATGCCCAACAACCCACAGCAGGTAAGCGCTCATGAGCAGGCCCCCCCCCCCCCCCTATTGTATATTGAGTCTCAGGCCTGTAATTGTGTGTACAGCTGAAAAATGCATCCACAGCTTTCCTTTCTTGTCACCCACAGTCTGTGTGTTGTTGTTGGTCGAAGCCTCTTCTGTTTGCTCCGTGTCGTAAACCACAGCAAGACTTCATAAAGCTGAGAGTCGTGACTTGTGTCACTCGTTGAGTCTCTTCCCTCTTTAATTCAGCCTCTCGTGTTGTGTCTTTTCTTGCTCACTGGCTTTTTCTTCTGCCCTCTCTCTGCCTCTCATTCTTTTACTGGATAAGAGCTGGGTGGGGTTCAGTAGTGAGTAGTTTCTTTATTTGCTCCCTTTTCTTTTTTTCCTTCACTCCTTTAAATAAAGCTGCCTTCCCACACGTTCTCCTGGGTGCTGTGGGTTTGCAGCGTGGACTGCGTGTGTCAGTGAATGGTGTGTAAGATCACATTTTGCTTGTGGGTATTATTAATAGTTTGCATTAAGTGTTTGCGTGAGGGGCTCACACATATGCTCAAAACAAGCCGTGTGGGTGCTCAGTTGGTTTACTATGTGTCAGTGGTGTAGGCTATGGAGAGGCTATTTCTACCATAAAAATATAAAAGAGAATAAATGAATATTGTGAATTGGAGTGCTATACACTTATCACCATGCCCACAGCAATCCGTTGTTTATTATTAACAAGCTTTATCATCTTTAAATAATCGTTAAACATCTTGTAAATGGTGAGTAAACAAGAAATGTGCAGGTTGCACCTTTTTAATTGAGTCAATTAAAAGTTTGGTTTCACAGTTCATATATGTTCTTAAATCCAAGAGTGTAATTTTAATAAATGGGACTTTAACTCCATCCAGAGGTTGAGACAGTGCGGCAGCAAGGAGGTGTACCTGCTCAGATGAACCTCTAGGTGGCAGCATCTGACATTACATAGAACCTGGAGTGGATGAAAGAAGTAGAAATATAGATCCTGTGGAGGCTCTTTCATTCAGGACAGAGGAACAGCAAGGCCTGCACACTCACCTTGTATGACCAGTGATGAAATGTATCGTAAATACCTGTTGAATCTTACATGTCAGCAGTATTTAGTTGTATTTAGAATGGATGCTAAAATAGAAAATAGTCAAGATGTAGATACAAGATCCCAGACTTCTTCTCTCCAAATGATCAATTCTAACCACACTAGTTCAACTTTTTAAACCACTACATCAGGCAGAGGTTAGCACGAGTGAAGGATGCTCCTGTGGCACCATGCTGCAGAATGTTTGTGCTTCTGTGTCCAAACAGAAGGCCGGATAGGATTACATAATTGGTACTTTCACACACTTCCCTCTGCAGATGAAGAGAGGATTGGCAAGCAGCGCTCCACAGACACAGCCTGCACTCTGTGCCACGTCTTTCTACACCAACACAGATAGACGGACAAACCAGCTCTCACGCAGACACAAATAGCCCAAACAGCATCCGAAAAATAAACTACACAAAGAACTGTTGATGGTGTCTCTCGTTTCCCGTGTCAGACTCTCTCTTATCGTTCACTGAGTCAGTTGTGTCAATGGCAGTTATGTTGGCTCATTTTATTAATTTGTCATTTTTCTTTTATCTCTCATCTCTTCTTCCTCAGCTCCTGAGAAAGAGGCACATAGGGAACGACATCGTCACCATCATCTTCCAAGAGCCGGGAGCGCTGCCTTTCACCCCGCAGAATATCCGCTCACACTTCCAGCATGTCTTTGTTATTGTCCGTGTGCACAACCCCTGCTCTGAAGGCACCTGTTACAGGTAAAGGTTTTTTAACAGAATAAGTACATACACACAACTATAATTAAAAAATGATTGTTTCTCACTCTTCAAATCTGTCCCACCTTTTCTCTTAGCGTTGCTGTGACACGAATGAAGGATGTGCCCCCTTTCGGCCCACCCATCCCCAGCGGCATCACCTTCCGGGACCCAGCAACCTTTCGGAACTTCCTTCTAGCCAAAGTCATCAATGCAGAAACTGCTGCGCACAAGTCGGAGAAGTTCCACACCATGGCGACGCGAACGCGGCAGGAGTACCTGCGCGACCTGGCTGAGAATTACGTCAGCAGCACGCCGCTCGACTCAGCCGGCAAGCTCAACAACCTCATCTCCCTCGCGTCTAAAAAGCGGGAACGCTCCAAGGCGAGAGAGGGCGCGGAGCTGGGAGCGGCGGGGGCCATCGCCTGGAGGGTCCAGGCCCAGGACTTCAGCGGAGGTGGGACGGAGCTGCCCTGTGCCTTGGGTTTGTCGGCCGAATACGTCCTCCTCACAGACTGCTCCACCAAAGAGGTGGTGTTCAACTGTTTCTGTGCGGACGTGATCGGCTGGACACCGGAGCGGTTGACGCTGAAGATCTTCTACGGTAGAGGAGACCACATCGCCGTGCGGGTCCCGGAAGGCTGTGCACCGGACATCAGGGAGGTGGTGCAGAGGTTAAAGGTGAGCGGTCAGAGCTTGTAGACTAGAGGGTCGGTGATTTGAAGCACATAGCTTGTGTTGTTTTTGGGGCCGTAGTAGTTATTGGATGTAAACAAACAAGGTTATATTTACATTTAATGGTGATGTCTGTATCCTTGAGGCCTAACAAATAATTAATTCCCGTCCTGAGAAAGTATTTGCTGTGCCAATTTAAAATAAAAAAAAATTTGCATCTCTCTCCCCAATTTCCTGTTTCTCTGTATCAGTGCTAGTTAATATGGCATAGTCAAGCTTTTTACTAGCTTGCGGTTTTCCTCTTCACTGCCTTTGTTGGGTATTGTTTAAATGTTGGCGATCTGCATCCTGGAAAGCCTGAACAATGTGTCAGAGCTAAAGTTAATAACCTTCAAATCTGCGGCCTATCAGGCCTATTAGATTCATATCAAAATATGAACTCAAACATCATCGAGCATCAAGGTAGTTTATTCAACCGTATAACTCAATCTTTCACCTGGTTGATGAGAGGAATATAATACTGTGATAATTCCTGTAAAATTCAACAAATGAAATCCTGGGGAAATGAGATTTCCTGGACTCCTGCAAGCTTTGTGTTAATCCAACAGAAAACAAAATATCTATAATTAAAAAAAAGTTAATCTTTCTAACAGTAGCAAATATATGCATTGTTTCAGATTACGTCACCTGGTACTTTGTGCGAATATTAATATTTCTGATAGATTTGAGTATTTAATGCTCTTCCTGCTAATTTAATTCCCCTTTCATGCTGTTTTATGATGCTTTCCTTTGTTTTAGAAGATACCCAGATACATAAGACTGTGATCATACTGTAAATGTAATATTTATTTATTCACATTATGTCCTCTCCTTGGTTAGTCCTTGACGGTGGGGTGTGAGACGGTGGACATGACTCTGAGAAGAAACGGACTGGGACAACTGGGCTTCCATGTCCGCCTGGACGGCACTGTGGCTGAGGTACCGTCAGATGACCATCTGCCACACCAGACCTCAAATACTCATCTAGGAAGAGTCTTGGCTCTACATAACTGGCTTGTTTGAAGACTTTTTTTTGGTGTTGTTTTTGTTATGCAGGTGGAGGAATACGGCTTTGCCTGGCAGGCAGGACTGAGACAGGGCAGTCGGTTGGTGGAGATCTGCAAGGTGGCCGCGGTGACGCTGACTCACGAGCAGATGATCGACCTGCTGAGGACGTCGGTCACGGTCAAAGTCATCATCATCCCTCCGTACGAAGAGGGGGGGCCTCGCAGGTGTGTTAAAATGTCTTTGAAGCTACACTAACGAGAGTGACTCATTTTGAAAGCGGCTTTGGTGAATACAGATGTTGAGGAGGTAGGCGTCAGCATTGCTGAGCGTTAGCAGCCAGTAGTGGAAGGACAAGAGCGAGCCAGAGTGAGTGCAGGACGCTGCTCACGCAAACACACAAAAGCATTGGTGAGGTAATGGCCAGACTCCAATGTTCTGGGAGGATTTTGTGTGGGAGTGCGGGAAAAGAGGAAGCAAACGAACGGAGAGAAAGAAACGATGTGTGGTTCGAGAGGAAATAGGCGGAATGAAGCATGGAGACAAAAAAAAAAAGAAAGAAGCATTTGTTTAATGGGAATTAAATGAAATCTGCTTTTCTTTGTTTCCCTCTCCTTTGTATGTAGTCTCATCTCGCTCAGCTTACTATCGCCTTGTTTCCCCTCCTCCCACAATCTATTTCTTTCCCCTCCCGTCATCCTCTTCCAACCTTTCATCTGCACACACGGCCTTGACAAAGACAGAATAACGAGGCCTTATGAGACGCTGATGTGGTGTTACAGAGCGGTTGTGGAGGTGAAGAATAACCACAGTGGCTGTGTGTGTTTCTCACTGAGAACCAGGGCTTTTAAATACAGTCATTGTGGCGGGTTGTGTGATCGCACAGTGGTTAGATATCTTTAATGTTTGAGGCAGTTTAATTACACCAAGTTAAATCCCTTTGACACACACACACATGCACGCTCTCTCTCAAGTAGCAGCTGATAATTAAGAGTCTTGTATTTCACTCATCCCCCACTCTCTCTCTTTCTCTTTCTCTGTCTCTCT